AATTTGGAACGGCGTGAAAAATCGTCCTCAAAGCATTTGGGTAACCCTGGTGAAAGCGAAGTTTCCATAGCAAAAAAATATTAGAAGAAAAAATGAACAAATTGCTAGATCACCTGTACTGCATTTTGATCCTTGAAATAAGTTTTTAGTGTGTTGCTGAATCTTTTAGAGTAGTGCACGAATTCTCGCTTCCGCTTTTCTACAGCTGAAAACAAAAAAAGCATTCGAAATTATCAAATATGTTGGAATTCGTTGTTCATCACACGTTTCCAAAAGCAACAGAAGTGGAAGTGGTGGAGAGAAGCTAACCTTGCTGTGCTGACTGAGGTACTATCTGATGAACAGCATTGATTGCTTCCAACAATTTCTTGATCGATGACGCAATAAGCTTGATAGTCTCAAGAAACTGATGACGATCTGCCATTTCTTCAGGCACCCGAGACAAAACACGTCGCAATTCAATGGCGCTGAAAAGAAGAACGTCTCATAGGAATACCGTAACGCAACACAATAGAACGTAATTTTTCTTCGCATGCCAACTTTTGTGCAATTTCTTCGTTAGCAAAGGAACATTCCTGTCTATGGTTTTCTTGAGAGTTTTACGAGCGCGTAGCCTATTGTTTCGAATATCAGGAGGGTACGCACATCACATGTCAAAGAGGCACTGTATAAAGATGCGAATGAGTTGAATCACTTCAACCCAAGAACCAACTCAACCACTACACAACCGTTTAACGACAGAAAGTGCAATGCCAATATTTTGAGCGGAAAATTTTCAAAGTAGAAGTCATACAAACAAACAACAACTCACCGTTTTGTCAACTCCTTGTACTCAGGAATGTGTTCATAGCCTTGGACCACTAAGTCATCTGTAGGGGATGTATCATGCATTCGAAGATATGCTTCCTATAACGTTTAAGGATAAAGTTAGAAAATTGCGAAGCTGTACCAGAAGTTTCAAAAACTCTTCCAAACTAATGCTACAATACCTATACAAGATCTCAAAAAGAATAAAATATTTTAGACCTGGAGAATAGAATAACTGAGGGACAAATGTCCCTCACTCTCATAATCAAAATTTTTCCTGGCTCAGATTGTACGTACAGCATCAAAATCTTTGCACAGTAATTACATGCCGCAAACAAAACTTCACTTGAAGATTGATGTTCAGTTCTGATTCTGCCAGTAAGATCTTCGTGAAATCGAACAAGAAGGACGGTGATACACTCTCTGACGTTCTCATAGCACTTCGAAGGCGCTGAACAAAGTTAGCAATACAGAGGCAGCATGAGTGAGACGTAAAACATTAGACAAAAGAACATTACCCAGAATGTAGACAACACAAAAGCGCTTGCTGTGAAAAATGAGAAAAGTATGTATATATATTTCATTAAACTCTAAGAAATTATGGGCACTTCGACTTATCTTGGAAATTTTAGCAGCTCCCGGTATGTTCAGAGCTCTTAGTATCTGCACTTATCATTCGCCGCAAAAAAGTCATTTCGCAGGAAAATTCATTTTCGTACAGGTCGAGTTAGAGTTTAAGGTGAAATACGTCTTTGTTCGAGTCAAGAGCGCAATGTGCCTCCAAGAGGGGAAGGGGAGGGGGACAGTGCAGTCTGTAGGAAGGCCACTACAATTAAGCCTAATCGAGGAGGACGAATGCCAAGGAAAATGAGGGTTCTTTACGCACATCGGATGCCCTCGTTTCCTCTGAGGCTTAGTCCTAAAACTGTGTTTATACTATAACCATACTCATTCCCCTTAACTACTAACAAAAAAATTTACAGACTTTTGTCCTCAGAATGAAAGCCAGAATTAAAAAGGTGTCTTCTGTCTGCACAAGATGCACAAACTCTCAGAAAAAGTTGCGAGGAGCTTTGCAAAGAACCAACAGTTTTCACTCACTAATCACTGTTAACACATTGCGTACCGCGTGCGCCACCATGTGGCGCACGATTTCGAGCGAAAGATCATAGTTTTATCTGATTTATTTGGCATTTTTCAATGCTCCTGAAGTGTTTGCACTCATTTTCAGAGCCAGGAAACATAAGTATCATCACTGATAAAATTGTTGATAGATTAATGATGATTCATTTTCTAAAAACATGAAAAAGGTATGGAAGGTGCTCGTACAACGGCGGTCCGCAATGTGTTAAAAAATACATTGCAAATCACTAAAAACTTGCAATCAAATTTTCCTCAATTTCTGGATTACGAAAACAACTCACATGAATCGCAGCAAGAGCACGATCATCGTCTTTCTTCGAGGATCGAAGTTTGTCGAGAATCCCACTGTATAAGCATTGATAAGTCATAGCACCGAGATAGCCACCTTCCTCGTTCATTGCTGAAGCAAATGACTGAATGCGATCACATAAATTTCGAACACGAGCAGAAAATCGAGACCGACGGCGAAGTGTCGAGTAAGGAAGAAATTCGGAGGACTACCGAGACGAAAAATAGCAGAGTAAGACAGAGAACTCTTTCTCTCCACAGCATTTCTGCGTTTAGCACTCATCGGGAGTGACGGGAACTCCACATCGTGCTGGTTATGTGGAAGGAAATTCCTAAATTGGGGTCTACTACAGCTGGGTGGGAGGGAGGAGGCATCATTTTCCAGAAAGCTAGGTAACAGTCCAGGGGGTGGGGGTGATGGTAGTCACTTGACATGCGTGAAAAGCTGGAATGTTCGAGTTTACACTAGTCGACCGAGAACATCTACATGCTCGGGTAACTGGAATAGACATCAAAATTGTTCGCCCCTTTTTCTAATTGTTAATAAGTTCTCAAGCACTAAATTCTAAAAACTAATCAATTCAGGGGTATGCTGGTTACCAAATCCGAGTGGCGCTTATATTACATTAGTCCAGAGGCTATTTAGGAGCCAATCTTGAATCAGCCCTTCGGTCACAAACATAGGAACAGAGCATGCATCGAGAAATTGCCCTCTAAGGTGAAAATGGAGGAGCGTGGCAAATTAGAGGGGCTGCAGCGCTCAGGTCTCTTCCTTGGTATAGCATGGCGTGATCGGTGTCAGCGCAGTGCCACTCTCACTGATCCACAAAACATTACTAAACACGAATGAAATTTCACTAAATGCACTTATTCTAATGACCACACCGAGAGCAACACTGAATAAAAAGAGTTTCGTGACATCGACACAAAGGAAGAGCACTACTATCTCCTCTTGACACACGAAAAAGAAGACAAGGCTAGAAATTGCTTGGTCCAGCTAGCATCTACAGTTGCCTTGCACGGGTGTGGTTCACTAGGACAGAAAGCGACTTTTTCGCGTTTCGCAGCGCGAAACATTTTTCGCTGCGGGAACCTCCTCAGGTCCACCGCTGATCAGAGTGGACCTGAGGTTCCCGCAGCGAAAAATGTTTCGCGCTGCGAAACGCGAAAAAGTCGCTTTTTCTGTCCTAGTGAACCACACGCCCTTGCACAAACTATTGCACGTCCACTTTACAAAGGGAGTTCAACTTTTCACAGTAAGGAAAAGAGGGTAGAGATCGCATCCTGCCATTCCTCAAAGTCAGAAAACCCTTCTAGCACTAATTCCGTCGAAACAGTTAAATAATTCCCACTACCTAGTCATGCCCGGCTCTCGATCCTGGGACAAACCGATCCAGTCAGCTTCCTTGAGCACGGCACTTGACTAATCAACCAACTAGATCAAAAAATGGATGCTAGGAAAAAGGGACGCGGCCTAAGTTTGTAGCCTAATAAGAAACCACAAATGCTAAAGGACCGCACCCAAAGGACAATGCCGGAACGTATATCAGCACCTATAACATCTGCGGTTCCCCATTTCAATCCAAAACATTGCTTACAGGTTATCAACAGAGGAATATCAAGTTAAATTCAACTGCGGTGACCAAAATACTACAACACTTTGATGTGTTGAAAATATCGATTCGAAAATTCCCATCTTGTAACCATTACTTGAAACGATCGAGTCGATCTACCACTTCCCCACAAATTCGCTCTTCTACAACAAACACAAATATCCCAATGAAACAACGCAGTGGAAAAGGACAAAAACATGGCAATTGACCGGAATTCCTTGGGCTAAAAATTCCTAGTATTGGGTTCTACCGGAGCCTGATAACAACACAAAGTTTTGCAATATAAGTTTACTACAAAATTAACTGGCTCCTCTTTGCATAATTCAACATTAAAATTTCGAGAACTGCATGGAATAATCATTACATTGAGAGCTGCAGTGAGAACTCAAAGCTAGATTCAAGGACATTGAGTAAAGCAAGGGAAAACATTAGGAAGTGATAAAAAATGAACGAGTAATTTCACCTGACCCACCTAAACTATGGTAAGCTGAATAGCTTTTGAGACTCAACTCCCAGATAATCAGCAGCAGCTTAATCGTTTACGCGGAGTTCTTCAAAGTTACAACATGTTATGATCTTGATTGGGGCCTAGAAATAATAAGCCTAAAACGGCAACAGCGCCTACAACTGGTGCTCAAATAGAGCAGGAGAATGCAACCATATAGAAAATCGAACATAGAAAATCTGGGAATTTTTTAGCACTACAAGCCATGAGAAATTGAGGAACAGTTCCTTAGGGCAACTCACCATTAGCTGAATTTGAAAATGAGTAAAAAATCGAAGAAGAGTTCCAAAGGATGAGAATGAACAGACGAGACCCACGATCTGCGCTAAATCGCTAGTGGATCGAATCGATACGGGCGAAGAGCGCACAATGGGAGGACGACCGTGTCGTTGGCCCGCAATCAACACACGATGACTAATCATAGACAACAGCTGAATAAGCGAAAAGATTAATTTCTAGATAAGGAAATGACAAGCGAGCGCAAAATGAAAATTGTGAGCAGCTTGCGTGCACGAAAATAATGCCACCTCTGCGCCCCACGTCACCTGTGCACTCTCACAGAACGCTGCTTCTCTGTGCACATCGAAAACTGCGCCGCACGATCGAGCCCCGAAAATTTCAAGCACCATCGTAACCTACTATTTTTCTTCACCTCGAGAGTTGTTCTGTGCAGCTGACGTGGCGGATTTACCGGATTCACTTCACTTTGAATGGGCAATGTTGCTGGATGCAC